ACCATTTCTGAAGTTAATATTTTCTAACATTGAAAATATATTTCTGATAGTTACTTACCTCCTCTCACCCACTTCCCACTCTTCCTCTCCACTGATTTGCCAGTGTTTTCAGGTTTGTATATGGCAATTTTCGAAAGTGAGGATTGTACTGCAAGAGTAGAGGGAGCTACCTGTGCTAGTATAGAGGGTGCAATGGGATTGGTGGAGGGTGGTCACATGATCAGCACATGTTTCTGCAATAATACAAAAATATAGGGGTATAAAAGACTGGTGTGCTTTTAAAAAGTTTACCAATGCCTAGAGAGAAAATGAAGGTTGAGATACCTATGGCTGAGACGAGATACATATCTATTGGAAATACATTTTCAGTGTTAGAAAATGTTAACTTCTGTGTTGTTCTTTTGTAATAATGACCAATAATTATTTCAATTTGCTCAAACTTGTACAGAAGTTTCTTAAAATGAAAATAGGAATTATTGTAAGTTTTTATATCTGTTCTCTGTGTTAAATTCTTGAACTTTACAGTAATAGAGATCAAAAAGTAGACTGTTTTAGTAGTAATACTAGAACTATAAGTATTCAAACTTATCAAGCAGCATTCAGTTACACTTATGATTATTGTAATGCATAGTCAGAAATTTATTTTTGATTTTTTATCTATAATGATATGCTTTCAAGTTTTGTACTATTGACATTTTCTGATATTTTGCCACTGCTATATTTATGACATAATTTGTTGCTTGGTGTGATGTAGACAGTTTTATAAGCAGAATTCATATTTTCTTTCTGTTTACCATCAAATAATATGCTGATTGGAATTCACTATGGTTTAGTTCTAAATAGCAGTGAATTATAATAATTTTGTTTCTTCTTGTTTTTTATCTAAATATTTTTATTTATATGTATATTTTTCTTTATATTATGATTTTGTTTTGGTACAACAGATGTTGCATGTACTCTACATATGGTATCCTGAAGCTGTTCAGTATTGTGTTTGTGTATTGACATCTCAAGTAAAAGCACACACAAGATTAAACAAAATCTTTGGAAAACTCCACTAAAAAAAAAGCTAAAACACAAATTGGTGAGAAAGATGTTTAAAAATATTTTTTGTTTTAGTAAGTGCTATTTTTCCTTTAATGTTTTCAGCAATTTTTCTAGTACCATGTAAGAGATAAAATAAACCGTATCCAAAAAAACAAGATTAAGTAAAATGTGGGCAAATTTATGAAAAGCAAACAAAACACTAAATTTGCAATCCATTGTCAAAGTAATACATAAAGTTTTCTTTCAACAGTAGTGCTAGTGTGCTTGACTTATTCATGTTTAGCAAAC